TTCAGCCCCTTGAGCCTGTTCCACCATTCAATGAGATCCTGGCTGATCTGCAGCCTATCCAGTTTATCTTTATCTACCTTTATCTACTTTATCTACCTTTATCTTTATCTTTTTTCCAGTTGAAGATTTTGATTAAATTACTCGTAACCTTCTAAATTCTAGAGAAAACAGGTCTAACTTGGAGATTAGCTATCCCTATAACATAAGCCCCCTGAAGTCCAGGTATCATTCTTGTAAACCTATCTTGTACACCTTCCAAGGCCTATATATCCTTCCTAAGGTGATGCTAGAAGACCCTTATAAGATGGTCTTAAAGAACACTTTAAAACTTTGCTTAGAGCAGAGAAGGGATCTGATTGAAGTGTACAAAGTTGTGAGGTGCGTACACATAGGGAGAAGATTTTCTGCTCAGTAGAGAGGTCAATGACCAGGGGGCACAACTTTAAGGTAGGTTTAGGTGGGATTTGATTAGAAAAAAACACCCAGAGGTGGTATCTGGAACTCACAGCTTAAAAACGTGGCAGAGGCAGGAGATCTTAAGACATTTAAGGGGTATTTAGATGGGCACTTGAAGCACAGAAGAGTATAGGCCAAGCGCTAGGAAATGGGATTAGAATAGTTTGGTTTTTAACCAGTGCAGACAAATGGGCCAAAGTGCCGTGCCATTTAAAATGATGCTAAGATTCTGAGAGGGCTTGACAGGGGAGATGCTGGGAGCTTCTGTCATGGCCCAGATGTAGAACTTAGGCATAGTTTCCATTTAAGACTGAGATGAAGAGGAATTTCTACTCTTAAAATGTCGCCAGTCTATGAAATTCTCCTCCCCATTAGAGGTTGGGGGTAATTAACATAATCAAAGCAAAGTTAGATGAAGTTTTGGTTGACAAGGAAGTGGAGTTCAGATCACAATCAAAGGATTCGTGAAATTATTGATTGGTAGGGCATGACTGAGGGGCCGAATGGCCTACCGTTACAGCTATTTCACATGTTCTTATATTCACTTTGTTCAGAAGAGCAAGGAAGGAGGCCACAAGAGCTCTGACTGATATTTTCTAATCCTGTGTGAAAGTATGGAATCCAGGGGCGTGTTGAATGTAAGTTTTGTTCAGTTGTGGGTCAAGAAAGGGTTACAGCCAATGTCCAACTGGACATGATTTTCAATGGGTTCGATTTAGGGGCTCTTGCTTTCTCTGGTATAGATACCAATGATTTAGACTTAGATGAAGAGGCACGATTAAGAACTTTGCAGTGGATACAGAGTAGCTGTATAGTTAATATTGAGGAAGGAAGTTGGAGATAGCAGGAAGGTATTGATGAACTGAGAAGAGCTGAAAATGGAATTCAATCTAGAGAAGTGGGGAGTAATGATTTGGGTAAGGCAAACATGGCGGAGGAAATACACTCACATTTGCAAACATGCACACACTCTGGCATGCAGACATGCACAGACATGCTCACACATACGAACATGCTCACATCTTCACACATACAGACACAGACGCATAAACACATATTCACGTACACATGCACTTACACACACACTTAGACTGACGCACACATGCACTCACACATCCACTCTCGTGTATAGACACACATACTGACACACACACGCACTCACATATCCACTCTCGTGTCTACACACACATACTGACACACACACAACCCAGACACACGTTCACACAAATAGACACACACACTCGTACAAACACACAGTCATGCTCTCGCAGATCCACATAATCGCAGATGCGAGATGCTAACACTCCTAGATTCACATGCACAGTTTCACACTCACACATATTCTCCCTCTCACACACACATACCAATACACACAGACTCAAGCGCACTGCCTTTATCCAGTCATTTTGTGATCTCCAGCGCTCAAATACATCATTAACAAGTCAATGTACGGATAATAAATGAGCAAGCAAAGAAGTAGTGCAATTTGCTTGCTTTCTGAATGACTGATCACGGATAAAGTGGATATAACAAATGCTCTGACCACTGTTGTCTAATGTTCATGAAAGTACAATGCTAGTGGACTGGAGATTTGAAAATGTTTCTTCCTTACCCAACGAAAGCAGGAGAAAAACTGAAAAACCACTTGTCTGTCAGCATACTGTCAAGGCTGGGGGAACATTTATAGGCAGTATTTCAGGTTGTTAATAGATTTGGAGCAATTTGCAAAACAACAGAAGGGTCAGCAGTGACATGGTAGTAATTTCACTAAGAATCTGGTTGATTTTTGAGGGGATGTAGGTTGAAATCCTACCGAAGCAGCTAATAGAATTTCAATTCAGTTATTTTAGTGTAGAAATAGAAGCTAGGACTAGAGATAGAGACCATGAAACTATCATCAATTGTTAAAGAAAAAAAAAGACCCATCTGGTCACTAATGCACTTTAGCGAAGGAAATGTGTCACACTTAACTGGGCTGGACTTGCATGTGAGTCCTAACCACAATAATAGGATTGATACTTGACTGCCCTGTGAAATGGTCTGAGCAAGCCACTCAGTTCAAGGGGCAGTTAGGGGTGGACAACAACAAGTAATGGACGTGAAAGGTAAAAGGAGTGTTTTTGTTGCCTCTGGATATCAGATTCAAATTTCTAACCCAGAAACAATGGGTTGAACGAATTATAGTATCCCTATAATGCAGTAAGAGGCTGTTCAGCCCATCAAGAATGCACCAACCCTCTGTCCCAACATTTTTACCATGGCTAATCCATTCAGCCTGGACATGATGACCACTACAGGGCAATTTAAGCCTGGTCAGTCCATCTAACCTGCACATCTTTGGACTGTAGGAGAAAACTAGAGCAAACATGGACAGAACATGCAAACTCCACCCAGTCACCCGAGGGTAGAATTGAACCCATGCTCGTGGCACTGTGAGGTAGCAGAGCTAAGCACTGTGCCAGTTCTCTCCATTTGTGATGCTAACAGGAGAAGTTTTTGATGAGTCTCGCTGCCTGTTTGCGATTTCAATGCACTTGTCTCTCACAATCTCCCCATTGCCTCAATAACCTTTCTATATTGTAAAGCCCAAAATTACAAGCACAAATCTGCAGATTTATCTACCATCCAATCTTACTGTACTATCAGTGAATCCATTAGTTTTTCATTTATCTTTATTCACATCATTTTCATCTGAAGTTCCAATTCCTGCTTTTATTCACTGGGCCTCCCTGGCAGCGTTTATTGCCTGTCACTAATTCTACCCTTACAGAACACTCAGCTGCCCAATTCAAATATAAGTCACAACTCTTATGTACCAAGATGTGTTATCTTACACTTGTTATGCTACTTGTCACTTAATGCACCATCTTATCAGCAGTCTCATTCGTCTTGCTCTGATCCTCAGCATCATTTTCTCATTTCGGTTTGAGTTAAGTCTGCAGTTGGACCTTCACTCTGACCCTATCTGTAAATCGTTGTAAGGGTCTGACGTTCCAGGACAGGAGCTAACCTGTCAATACTACCCAACGACCATCCAGCTGGGATACCAGCCTTAATTGCCACTCTAAATGCATTCAAAGGTCCATGTATTGTGCATCCGATGCGCCGTCAATCGAAGCCAAGCCAACTATGAGGGAGAAATTAAAAATTAAACTTTTTTTGGGAAAAGAGTTTGTTGACTCCCTCAATCTTAGAACTGACTTCCCACCCACGGAGACACAGTTGCTCCCTATTCATGGATAATTACAATCAACCTGTTCATGTATGCTGTGACATACCTCTGGAAAGGGTAAGACTTAGGCCCTTTTTAGAATACTGCATGCAAGTTTGGTCTCCCTGCTATAGAAAGGATGTTGTGAAACCTGAAAGGGTTCAGAAAAGATTCTCAAGCACGTTCCCAGGGTTGGAGGGTTTGAGCTACAGGGAGAGGCTGAATGGACTGGGACTATTTTCCCTGGAGCATCAGAGCTTGAGGGGTGACCTCATAGAGGTTCATACGAAGGGAATGGATAGGGTGAATAGTCAAGGTCTGTTCCCCAGGGTAGGAGAGTCCAAAACTAGAGAGCATAAGTTTAAGGTGAGAGGGAAAAGATTTAAAAGGGACCTGAGGGGCAACTTTTTCACGCAGAGGGTGGTGCGTGTATGGAATGAGCTGCCAGAGGAAGTGGTGGAGGCTGGTACAATTATAACATTTAAAAGCCATTTGGATGGGTATTGAATAGGAAGGGTTTAGAGGGACGTGGGCCAAACACTGGCAAATGGGACTAGATTTATTTACGATATCTGGTCAGCGCAGAGGAGTTGGACAGAAGAGTCTGTCTCTGTGCTGTACATCTCTGAGTCTATGACGAGCCCAGGCCTGTTGGCTCAGAGATAGGGACACTACCACTTTTCCACAAGAGCTCATTTCCCCACTTTATGTTCAAAGACAAATTACATCCACTGCCTTTTTTTTTACCTGAAGGGTATGACTGATCAAACATCTTATCTAAGACATCCTGAAAGAATTCCACCAGCTGGTTTCCTGTTTGACCAACTGTGTTTCTGCGGTTTACCCCTGTTGCACATCGCCGAGAAAGAACAGGATATTTCCCAAGACAATGAGTTCAAGAAGTTTGCTGTCAGCCAAGATACACTGTGGAATGGCTCATAATTCACAGTGTATGGCGAAATAACTTACGTTTAGCCTGTCAACACTTTTCAGTAGAAAATTTGCCCACTTTTAGTGACTTCTGTGATTCCTTGCAGAGCTAAGGGAGGTTTAAATGGCAGAATATCATTGGAAATTAGCAGGCTCAGAATCAGTTTGTGTACAAATGAAATTTACTTAAGAACCCCCAAAGATGTGAGGCAGGATTGCTTCCCACAAACACAGCCCTTTGAAGGACGGTCACTGAGTTTTCTGAAAAGCCTCTATCTCTCTCAAGGGCTTTTGGAAGGAATTTGAGTTCCATCCTGAGCAGGCAAAAGTCTCGCCCTTTATCATCCGTCTCAGTGCAGCATTGATCTGATCAATGATGTTGGTTTTAAGGTTCCATTCTTACCTGTCTTATCCTCAGAATATCCTCAGTTGCCCAGAGATCCCTGTGCTCCGTGTTCCCTGTGTTCCTAAGCCATTTGGGACATATTGCTGTTAGCATGGAGATCGAGCTATCGACAATTGCGATTCAGCTGGCAGCACTGCCTTTAAAACAGGAAGTAACAAACCAGATTTCAAATTTAGAAGCAGCCCCTAATTAGAGCTACTTGAGAAAAACACAGTGTCTAAATTTGCGAATGGCACAAGATGAAGCCCGTATGCATCTGGGGCCGGTTTTCTGGGAGCAACTCTCACAGTTCCAATCAGCTGCTCCATCTCTCCAGCACTCAAAGTTTATTTTCTTCAAGTGTCCAACAAGTATTCATTTTAAATCAAACTTTTGTCTCAGCTTCCACCAGGCGTCAAGAGTATTGGCTTTCGAGTTGCTATCACTTTGCTACATCAAAATGTTCTGCCTCCAACCTACATCCTCCTTGCAGCTCTCGTCCGTACTCTTAAATCTGACTCAGAACGTTAACTCTGTTTCTCCTCTCCTCAGGTACCACGAAACCTGCTGAGTTTCTCTAGCACTTTCTGTTTTCTTTATTTCAGATCTCCAGCATGTTCTTTATTTTGTTTTTATTTGTCCTTAAATCTGCCTCCCCTTGTCCCTGAGTTTAGTAGCACAGACTGCTTTGCTCTCATTGTCATTAAGGAGACACAAATGATCAACTAAAGTTTCCAAGATACTTATCTCTTAGAAGGGATATTGTTATGGACCAGACCACACGCCCTCAATATATTTTAAGAAGGCAGCCTAGACCCTTAGCTTTGAATCAGAGATAGTAGGAACTGCAGATGCTGGAGAATCCGAGACAACAAGGTGCAGGGCTGGATGAACACAGCAGGCCAAGCAGCATCATAGGAGCAGAAAGGCTGACGTTTCGGGCCTAGATTTGCTCCTATGATGCTGCTTGGCCTGCTGTGTTCATCCAGCCCTGCACCTTGTTGTCTTAGACCCTTAGCTTCTTGTTTTAAAGATAGATGTGAAGTGCAGTGTTCCATATGCAATGAGACTGGTCAAACTACTTGACATTAAGAAAAATATGATTTATTTAAATGCTATAGTTAAAAAAACAAACAAAAGAAAGAGGAATTTAGAATAACGTAACTATTGGAAAACTTAATCAAATAATAGATACAGTAGCTATTACTAATTAATTGTTTCAGTATACTATCATGCCATAAACACACCCCTTGGCAGAAAGGTAAATCCTTACATAAGAAGGTGTAGAGCTGGATGAACACAGCAGGCCAAGCAGCATCAGAGGAGCAGGAAGGCTGACGTTTCGGGCCTAGACCCTTCTTCAGAAAGGATTT